GTCTACACTATGTGGTGCCGTGAATTAATTTCACCTACGTAGATACCATAGCTGGAGTTAACATACTCTGCATGGCATCTTCCATGCAGTGAGGTAGGAGTGGGCTGCTCTCCCATGAATGCCAGGTACTTTTCTCAACTTGGTGGAGTACCAGCATCAAAGAGTGCACACTTGGGCCATGTCTACACTCGTGGCTTCTTGCACAAGTAATATGCAAATGAGGCTAAGCATGGAATATCGCCAAGCCTCATTTGCATACCTAATGAGCCACCATTTTTTTCAGAAGAGGCTTTTGCACAAGAAGGAGCATCTACACTGCCCTTTCTTGCACAAGAAAAACCCTCTTGTGCAACGCCGTTCTTCCTGAAAAGTAATAGGTGTAACGCCGTTGCATTAGAGGATTTTTCTTGAGCAAGAAGGGGCAGTTTAGATGCTCTTTCTTGCACAAGAGCCTCTTCTGAAAAAAATGGTGGCTCATTAGGTATGCAAATGAGGCTCAGCGATATTCCACGCTTAGCCTCATTTGCATATTACTTGCGCAAGAAGCCATGAGTGTAGACAAAGCCTTGGAGATCAATTTATTGCATTTATAGCAGATGCAAGAAATCAATGGCTGGTAGATTGCTGCAGCATTGATCCACCCCATACTGTAGACAAGGCCTTAGTTACTGATAGCAGCAACATGTTTGAAAAAAGTACTTAAGTAAATGATGATAAAACTTAACTCTGAAACAAATTCTGATTTTAGGAAAAATATCAATTCTAAATAGTTACTGAAGTTTAAAAAAAAGAGATCATATTGAGTAGACATTTATATGTTAATCATTCTGTAAAACAGTCTTTAGTGTTTTGGAGGTAATCAATTGCTTTCTTGATACCACTGTAAAAAGCTTTATAAATACATGGTAATATCCTATGTAATATTTGCGCACAGCCATATTTTTTAAACTTTTACTTGTCACAGTATATTTTCTTAAAACCCTTTGGCATAATACCCTTTGGCATAATGGACTACAGGCAATCCCCGGGTTACATGGATCCGACTTACATCGGATCCCTACTTACAAAATCTGCTTCCCTTCAGCAGACCAGGGAGACGTGAAGCTAGCGCTCCCCCCTCCCCAGCGGACCAGGGAGACGCGGAGCGGCTTTTCTCAGCACACATCTCAGCTTGAGAATAAAGGACTGAGGGAAGTGAGGTGTGGGAGAATAAAACTGAGCTCTGGAGAAAAGTTTGGCTAGAGTTTCCCCTACAATATGTACCAGTTCCGACTTACATACAAATTCAACTTAAGAACAAACCTACAGTCCCTATCTTGTACGTAACCCGGGGACTGATTGTATTTTGTAGAGTCTAGAACAATTTAAAACTGAATCAGCACATCCATGCATCACTGTGTGAGCTTAACATCTGTATAAATCTCCCAAACACTTTGTAAAAATTGGCTCCTCAGCTGAGATTTCCCTCATGACATATAGCAAGTGTTCTCTGATGCTATTTCTGTTTGTTGATATTAAATAGGAAACTAATTTAATCCAGGTTATTTAAAACTTTTAGAGGTGCCCTTCCTCTGAATCCTCAAAATGTCATCTCCCCCACTGATTAAATATACATAAAAATAATGAATACTTGCTGCAGTCACAGTAATACCACCTTAGTCCTCACCTAAGAAAATAATTTGATCTTTCATTAACCAGTTTTGGACCAAAGGAAGAGTGAATTTAAGAATAGACTACTTTATGAAAAGTGCTGTCTCCAAGATCTAGATAGCACCATATCCTTTCCATATCTGATTTCAACTGGGATGATTTCTTAAGTAATTAGAGCCCAAATAATTCAAGGCTTTCTTAACAGATTAAAATTCTTGCCTTGAATTCCACCCAGATGCTTATTGATAATAAAATCTCAACATAACATTTCACCTGATAAGCTAGCCCATGTTCTTTTCTAGCTTGAGTTTCCAAATAGTCTCGTCATGTAGCTAATTACCATAAACCAATATCAAGATGACAATAACTGTAAGTAAAAATGATGAATTCTCTTCAGAAATGCAGTTGGAAAATAGGATACTTGACCATATCCATTACCTGGGCATCTAGGAGAAGTCAGGTATCTTCTTAAAAATACATATTCTGCAGCCATATTTAACAAATGGAGTGCGTACTCGCTCAGTGAAGGGTATTCATATTATCATATGGTTCCTTCCTCCAACCAACCAACATTATTTGTCTTATCTGCATTCAGTTGCAGACAACAGATTCTCCTTCCATTGCCTTCAATAGATTATTTGTTCTACTTACAAATCCAACAACAAAACTTGTGTTCAAACAATATTCTAAACAGTATGAGTAAATTCTAGGGATGTTAAAATATGTTTATTCAAGTAATGTGTAACTGCTGAAAATGTCAGCGGTTAGAGGGTTACATGTGGGGAGAGGGAGTTGGCAGTTCCCTGTGAGCACCAGCTCCCTCCTGCTCCCCTGCGCCTGCACCCGTGTGCTGTTGCCTCTGATATGGGGGGAGAAGCGGCCTGTGTGTAACAGTGCACATTAACCAATGAGCCCAGGCTCATGCATTAACCATGTACACGATTACACTTTCACATACCTAGTAACTACCAGTTACCTACCAGCAAAAAAATGTCTCCACTACTAGAGTTGGGATGGTGTGTGGAAGGCTAGCCAATATGCCTCTTTAATAATAGTATAGAGCACCAATCTTTCTAATGGTAGCAAGTCCATTTGTTGTTCACCACAGAGTATAGTTATCACACTTTCTACCATCTCTTTTCAGTCTGTTCTTAGCCTTCCTATTCCATCAATGGTGTGATGTTGCTTTGTCCTTCAACTATAAATCCATAGCTGTTTGAAAGAATGTATACATTCTGAACTAATAACAAGATTTCTTGTTAGACAACTGATATTGCTACCATTGGTGATAGTGCTAGTATAGGTTTTTAGGCCAGTGCAATTAAATCTACTGATACTTTTGGTCTCCCGTTACCCCATTATTCCTCATGCAAAACAATAGGTGCTGATATACTGCAATTGTAATCAATGCTATTGGTCTTGGAAGGTACATGTTTTTTTTTTTTTAAGTTCTAGTGTTATTAGTGGAGATTGCTAACTACATTAATCTCTTCTATGTACAGTTATTCCACTAATAACTAGTTCTCAAGCGTAGGAAACAATTACAGTACAAATTCCTAAATTACGAAAAAGTATCAGATGCTTTCATACTGTATACATATAATTAACACATAAACCTTGGTGATATGGGCTAATATATTATCAAACCCATTTATATAACAAGGACTTAGTACTGGCATTGACAGTTGAGGGTTGATTTTGATCCTGCTGTTCTGAAATAATTGAAGCTGTGAATCATTCTGGGAGAGAATCACATTGGAGCCCTCACTGTGCAATCCTCCTCTATTCCTGTAGAGAAATTTTCCTACTCCATTAGCATCATTGCAATCTTGTCCAGACTCCATCTGTAATTTTACAATCAACCTTATCCAAACCTCAGGCACTGAGGAAATAACAGAACTGCTGTTGAATGAAAGGGAGATTAGATGAATGCCATCTGCATGCTGATGATCAGTCTTCCTGAATAGCCTTTCAGATATACTGAACAAGAGAACTGACTAGATAAAACCTTAGTAGGGTAGTCCTGCAGCACCTTAGAGACTAACAAATATATATACATAAGGGCTACGTCTACACTGGCCCCTTTTCCGGAAGGGGCATGTAAATTTCAGCAGTCGTCGTAGGGAAATCCGCGGGGATTTAAATATCCCCCGCGGCATTTAAATAAAAATGTCCGCCGCTTTTTTCCGGCTTTTAAAAAAGCCGGAAAAGAGCGTCTAGACTGGCCCCGATCCTCCAGAAAAAGTGCCCTTTTCCGGAGGCTCTTATTCCTACTTTGAAGAGCCTCCGGAAAAGGGCACTTTTCTACTTCAAAGTAGGAATAAGAGCCTCCGGAAAAGGGCACTTTTTCCGGAGGATCGGGGCCAGTGTAGACGCTCTTTTCCGGCTTTTTTAAAAGCCGGAAAAAAGCGGCGGACATTTTTATTTAAATGCCGCGGGGGATATTTAAATCCCCCGCGGATTTCCCTACGACGATTGCTGAAATTTACATGCCCCTTCCGGAAAAGGGGCCAGTGTAGACGTAGCCATATAGTATCATGAGCTTTCATGGGCAAAACCCACTTCCTCATATAAACATAAGTTCATGATACTAGCTCATCATCTGAAGAAGTGGGTTGTGTCCACAGAAGCTTATACTACCATCTACATATTTTGTTAGTCTTTACGATGCTACTAGTCTATTTGTCGGGGTTTTTTTTAATATTAATATTTAATAGTCTCTAAGGTGCTACAGAACTACTTGTTTTTAAAGTAACAAAGCTACCCCTCTGAGACAGAAAAAACCTCGCACTCTATATCAAATCTCTCCAGAAAAGAAAACATACTCAGCAACACTGCAATCTTAGAATGGATCTACTGCAGAGAACACCATCCATTCTATGATCAATTCTATCCAAAGCCTATCAGCCACTATTAGAAGTGTAGTTAAGAATATTACATCATTGGCTAGGTCTCTATAACTTTTCACTATCTCCCTGTTTTTGATCCAATTCCTCATGGAATACCTACAGATGCAAGTGAAAAAAAAACAGACCACACACCACATTTTATATTTCTCATACAGCTTGTTTATTGCTAGACAAGCTTTTTCCAGTCTTGCTTACCAATATCTGTATTGCCAACTCTTGTTTGCTGGCCCTCTTCTCTCAGGGTATGTCTACAGTACAGCGTTATTTCGAAATAGTTATTTTGAAATAGCTTATTTCAAAATAACGCATCTACACACAAAATGCATTTTGAAATAGATTTTTGCTATTTCAAAATAGCGCATCCACACTCAGTGGATGCTGAATCGCACTTAAGGCTGGCTGGAACCAGGGCCAACAGAGCATCAGGTCAGGAGTTACTTTGTGTGGCTGCTGCCTGAGGCTATCGGAGGCCTCTGCTTAAAAGTACCCCCCTGGACAGCAAGTTTCCCTGCTTGCTTGCCTACCTCGATGAGGGACAGCAAAGCATTTTGTTTCTGTGTGCTCTGGTTGCCCTTACTTGGGACACCACAGCACTCGGCAACATGGAGCCAGAGCTGCCCCTGGGTACTCTGGTGCTTCTCTTGTGCACGTTGCTGCGAGCCTGGCTGCACTTTCTGCAGGCTGCCATCTGAGAGGGCCAACGGGGGGCTGACAATATCCAGGAGGCATGCAGGAGAGCTTCTACCCTGAGGAGCACAAAGAGCCTCCCTGGTGTACTCCACTGGGTGCTTGTGCCTCATTCCTCCCTCACGTCCTTCCACTTACCCTTCCGTAAACCCCCTCCCTTTGATGTCAAATAAAATACACGTATTTTCATGAACACAAACTCTCTTTATTTAACAAAACTGGGGAGGAGGGAGGAGATGAAACTCTGGTGAGACTGGGGAAAGGAGGCGAAAGAGGGGAAGAGAGAGGGTGGGAGAGGGGAGGGGGAAACCTGGGAGGAGGGAGCTGGAAGGGGGAAGCAAGGTGAAGAAGGGGGAGAGGAAGCTCAGGGCTCAGGGTTGTGGGTCTTGCCAGACCAACTTGATTTTCATGTGAACCTGTTCCTGGGTTCACATATGGCCTTTGGTGGCCAGCTGGCAGCTATCCTGCCATAGACATGTACGTTCCTCCGTCTAGTGTGGAGATCATGGACGTTGGGGGCATCCCCCCAAACCTGAATAAGGCCCATGATCTCCAGCCTAGACCAGGAAGGTGCCCACCTTCTCCGGGTTCTAGCAGGCTCCTGGAAGCTGGCAGACTGCTCCTGGGGAGCAGTGGAGGGCTGGCTGCCAGAGGGTTGATGGCTCATATTTTGGGGCCACTGGGTCTGGGACAGTGACTGCTGGCTCTGGGCTGGTAGGCTTGGAGCTGGCACAGGCACTGTGGCCAGAGTCTACCCATTTAAGGGCTCCGGGGAGGGGTGGAGGGAGAGAAGTGTTCTTGTTTGAGGCCAGAGTGACCACCAGGGCACCCTAGGAAGGTTGGAGGCCCCCTGTTTTGAAATAAGTGTCTATGCAGCACTTACATCGAAATAGCAATTTCGAAATTGGCGTTATTCCTCGTGGAATGAGGTTTACCAATTTCAAAATAAGCTCTCCGTTATTTCGATTTTATTTCGAAATGCAAGAATAGCTGTGTAGATGCTAGGATAGTTATTTCGAAATAACAGCTGTTATTTCGAAATAACTTTGCTATGTAGACATACTCTCATATGCTTTTTTAAGTGCAATATATTGAGTCTTATTTTTGGTTTTCCTAATCTCCTTTCTCCTATCCAAGACAACCCAGATAGAGAGGTATGTCAGCTGAAGTCTACTGTACCTTATTTAATATTACTGTTAGATAGGATTTGTTTTAGTTTCTTACAGCTATTGACAGTTTTTTTTTCCTCAAGAAAATCGGTCTGCATGATCAATCGTTACTAGCCTTTTTTCCCAGTTTGGATCTCAACGCTTGATCTAATGTAGTCATGGCATCTTCTTTATGTAACTTGTTCCTCTAGTATAACTCCCACACAAGTAGCTTTTATGTTTTTAGTACATTTTTCATATAAATTGCAGAACTTATTTTTATGGGGCTCTCTTGGCTTACTGTACGCAAGTTCTTAAATAATAGCACATTCAATTATCTTACAGTGAATAAATGTGAATTCTGGCAGATATTTACCCAGCACAAGACAGGAAAAATATTATAACAAACAGTTTATCATCTACTACATTGTAGTTTTGCATAGGAAGAGAGGATGTAAACACATTGGTAAACTAGATGATTAGCTTTTCAAAAAGTATCATCTCTGTGAATACAAATACTGTACATGTTTGCATATGTTACTCCGTGTTTTGCAGAACAGTTGTTCAGATACACTTTTTTTTTGTACAGGTGCCTTGGCAAATGTAGTCCCTAGTATCTAGACATGTAAGCTACATCTTTACACTCAAATCCTGTAATTGGTAGTATCATGTAAGAACCATTTAGCCAGATGATAGGTGTAACTAATGATAAATGTGAGATATTTACTTACTTTTTGGCAGCTTTCAATGAATTCATCTATGGTAACTACTCCATCTTTATTTTTGTCCATTTTCTGTCCAGAAAGAGTAAGAACATTTGCTTACATCATCAGAAAATCCTGCGTAAAAATACTTACTTTTTTATTACTTATTTTAAAGTTATATTGCAGGCTGGTGGCCAACCAGGTCAGGGTGTCATTTTGCTTGGCACTGTATGTAAATATAGGGGGGACATGATAGCGGTTTTCAAATATCTACAAGGGTGTCACAAGGAGGAAGGAGAAAATTTGTTCCTCTTGGTTTCTGAGGACAGGACAAGGAGTAATGGGCTTAAAGTGCAGCAAGGGAGGTTTAGATTGGACATTAGGAAAAAATTCCTAACTGTCAGGGTGGTCAAATATTGGAATAAATTGCCAAGGGAGGTGATGGAATCTCCCTCTCTGGAGATATTTAAGAACAGGTTAGATAGACATCTGTCTGGTGTAGACGGCGCTTGGTCCTGCCTTGAGGGCGGGGGGCTGGACTCGATTACCTCTCGAGGTCCCTTCCAGTCCTATGATTCTATGATTCTATATGAATTGTTTCTGCCTCAGAGGGTTTACAGTCTAAAAGCCTGGATATAACTAATTAGACAAGTAGGTTAGGTTGGGAGCACAGGGAAGACAGGGTAACAAAAATAATAGGATGTGCAAAATTGTTTACAAATCAATATATGATTTTCACTTGTAAATCATACTTTTTGGATGTCTTGCCCTACCTGAAAAAATGTTTCCACGTGTTGTCTAGGGGCGTCCTCTTTGAGAACAGGATAAGTGCATTTTCCCATCATATCATATATAGCTTTCATAATATCAAGCATTTCCTGAAGAGAAAAACATGTTCATATAATGTTTCTTTAGATTTTGAGCATTTATAGTTTAGAAGAAATATTTCAGACTAAGCCACATAGTCAAATTGTAATTGAACAACTTCACATGGATCACCTTGAAATTTTAAATTAGGCACTGCAGCTTACATATGTTCTACAATAGAGAGAACTCAATAAAACATTGTAAAGTAACTGAAGACTCTTAAGCAGATGTAGGTTTATGCTTTTGAATTTAAATGCTTTACTACATATACGTCTAATGATATTGTGGAAAGAAAGCTTCTGTAGTCCAGTAAGTGGAAACAAATGGAAAACAGTTTGTAGCTAGAGATGATTGGGCAAACGTCATCATCTCCCTGTGCATGAGTTTCTCCAGCTTTTGTTAAGGTACTCTGAGATATGTTTTTGAAAATTGATCTATAAGTATGATTATAAATATGTAATTGATCTGACTGTGTTGAGGACAGCCTGAGGACAGGGCTTGCTGGCTGCCCTGTTTTTGCCACTATTTACCTGGCTGCTGCCCCACCTGGCCGAGGCACCCCAGGGATGGGACTCACCAGTTCCACTGCTGCCACATCTGGATGGGGATCACTGGTCCCAAGGTAGCCTTGCCCAGCTGTGGTTCACTGGGGATGGGGCCCCCAGCCATTCACACTCCCGGGCGCTGGGGCTCTCTGATCCAGCAACATGCCGGACCAGGGAGTCCCAGATTTTGGAGGTTCAGTCTGTAGTATTTTAATATGTTCTGTGCTAACAACAAATTACAGATTTTATTTTAAATAGTGTTGAAGTTCACTTGTATTTTTGGATACCCATTTTTATGTTCACTACCTATTTTTAGTAATTCTTTGGGCATATTTAGGTACCCATTCCTTATGTGTCTCTTCCTTAAGAAATTTGGCCAGCTATATCGTCTATGTCTACTAATAAAATCTAAGTTTGTGACCAGTTCTTAAATATCTTTTCTTAAAGTTTTTATAAAATTGCATTTATTTTAACCATTTTAAGTTGTGGGAAGAAAATAAGTTGTCTTGCTGTTTGCTACCCAACTCAGGCTAAGTCTACACTGCCCCCATTTTATGCAAAAAATATGCAAATGAGGTGAAGTGTGGAATATCACTGTACCTCATTTGCATTATTAATGACACTCCGTTTTTGTGCAAAACCCCCCTCTTGAGTAAGAGCTGTTCTTCCGCATTTTTTTAGGAAGAACGGCTCTTGCACAAGAGGGATTTTTTGTGCAAAAACAGAGCCTCATTAATTAGGCAAATGAGGAGTGGCATTATTCCATGCTTCACCTCATTTGCATATTTTTTAGGAGGAAGTGTAGATATAGTCTCAGAGTTTTGACAACAGCTTCTCTAAAGCCCCTTTCCTTTGAAACTAAAGAAGGAGGGACACATACATGGTATGGTTTCAGGTTCTGTGGCTGCAAAATGAATTCTTACCTCTTTAGTTATATATCCATCCTTATTTATATCATACAAATTAAAAGCCCAGTTGAGTTTTTCTTGTACTGTCCCTCGAAGTAAAATTGAGAGACCCATAATGAAATCCTAGATAGAAAAAAAAATCAAGGTGGTTGGAAGGTAAGCTATCTCTTGTCTAAATATACAGCTTTCAGATAAGTTCTTCAATATAATACTAGGCTGGAAAGAAGGATTGTTGCTGTTTCTTATTTTGGTAATGAATAGTAAAGAATAGTTGTGTTTTTTATTGTTTGTTTGTTTTGTTTTGTTGCATTGCTCTACTAATGTAATACAAGCAACAATCAGTTTTGAAGCCCGCCCCTTCTGTTAACGTACAGAATAACTTGAATGTACTATTTTGTGTGTGTATAATATATTTATATATATTAGTATCCATGTGACTGGCTGTCTCTCTGTGAGTCCGTTTGTTCAAGAACTCCTTCTAAATGGTCAGAGCTAGGGCCACCAAATTTGGTATGCTGCTTCTTCTTACCCTAACTTAAAGCAATGTCAGGCTTTGGTTGCGCCAGGAAAATGGGAAGTGCCAGGAATGGGACTGTTTTCCAGAACATGCAGTTCGATGGGACTGAAGGCAGTGAGCACAGAGGAGAGCTATACTGCAGAGTGACCATTGTGGGGCAGCTACACCATCAATAGAGTGGTGAGCTGGGGCTCACCATCCTGCCACCAATGGGTAAGTAGCACTACTGCTCCAAACCCCTCCCTCCACTGGCTCTTGGCTGAAGCTCTGAAGGGTGTGAAGGGAGAAAACCCTATCAGATTGAAGGACAGAGGAGAGAAAGATGGCTCCTGCTGGCCAGGGGAAGAGAGAAAGCCCCAGTAGATGGGAACCCCTCCCCAATCTGAGCCCCTTCTCACCTCTCCCAATCCTTTCTCACATCCCCAGCTTCACGCCCTGACTACATCCCTGAAGCCCTGACCTGACTCCTGCAACCCCCACGCTGCCAGTCCACTGGCCTGAAGGATCCGGGCAATACTAAATAAATCTTCTAGTACTTTATACAGTGATGTATGGTGGCAATTCCTTTTGAAGTCAACGTGGAGAAAAAACACATCACCATAGTGTGAGGTCCAGAACAAAGTCTATGTATTTCTTAAAATCCCAAGTTAGGAAATAATTGGGACTTAAATTGCATATATGACTTCTTATGGAATGCTATATGGGAGCAAATGACACCCACAGGATTAAAATATTCACATATCAGTGGAGGTTTTCTTCAGAAGCTGGTTGCTTTATAAATTGGAGCATAAACAACAAAAAGGCAATTCTGAAAACTATTCATTAGAGAAATTCAACTCAATATTTCATATAAAAGAGGTGAAAATAGAGATAATTGTACATTAAAATATTATAGAGAAAATTATGGAAGAACAAGAAAAGCTGAATCCATTCCTTTGATACTTGGTGGTAGATAACTCTGACAGAATAACATGGTGTCAGCTTTCAAAGAAAGAAATTAGTGAGGTTACATTGCTTCCTTGTAGGCCAAGAAGTCTGATTACTACACTTGTGTTAAAGAGTGCTACACTAGAATTAATTAACACTGTTTTATTGCAGCGTGAACCTCATTCATGATTCAACAGAGATTTGATGAAAAAGTCAAATTTATTTATTAGTTACATTTCTTTTGTATTTTTTATTATTTAATTATTAAGGATGCTTGATCACAGACATTTCCATAGGACACATAACTAGGGGTCTACCAAATTCATGCCATGTAAAATGTATCACGGCTTGTGAAATCTGGTCTTTTGTATGCTATTTCTCCATACTGTACAGTTTGCACAGGAAAGACCAATGCTGCTCAAATTGGGAGTCCTGACCCAAAAGTTTTAGGGGACAAAGGACATCACAAGATTATTTTAGGATCACAGTATTGCCAACCTTATTGATGAGCTGCTTTGAGAGTTGGGTGTCCAGATAGTGGCAGCTGTTGGCCAGGTGCCCAGCTCTGAAGGCAGACTTGCTGCCAGAATCAGTGCAGAATGGTAATAGTATTGCACACTCACTTACGATAACCATGCCTTTCCCACCACAGTTCTTTTTTGGGTCAAGACTCCTACAATTACAACACTAAGTGAAATAATGAAACTTAAATTTTGAAATGCTATGACTATGAACTTGCCCAAATGAATGCTGGATTTGGTAGGGCTCAATTCAACAACAGATAATGAAGTAATGGCACAAACTGAAATGAGACTGTCCAGCAGCAACAAAATTCGAAAGCTGTGCCAAGCCCTTTGGCTATCAGTAATTCTGTATCGACAGTGGCCAGGTTTATATGTTCAAGAAAGCAGAATTTTAAAACACGAACATGGGGGAAAGGTTTAAACAGCTAATGGCTTGTGTGAAAGACAAGAGGGGCTGAGCCAGCATGTTTTAATGTTATGTTGCTTGTACTAATGCAGTCACCCTTACAAGTATATATTGAGAACTAGATCATCTAAGGCTGCATAGCTGTATCAAAGTCCTGTCTTTCTTTCACTTTTTAGTTTAGTGTGCCCTGGGGCTTGCTGATGTTCTTATGTTTTCCAATATTAGTGCTTCAGTACACTCACTCTGTGATACATCTTAAAGTTATGAATACATGAATCCTGAAAAGCATTTTGATAAACTAACTTATAGCTTCAAGTATTGAGAGTTACAAGGCTAAATCTCTAAATAGCTCTTTGAAAGCATACTGCCAAATATTAAACCATTATGCTTCAGGGAATTGAGACTAGATTTGACCATATATTTTAACAATCTGTATCTCATCATTCCCAGTTTTCTGTGTTCTAAATATTGGCGTCTCTTTTCCTGAAGTCCACCTAACTCTAATGTGGATTTGTCAGCTTTCATTCTGGCATTTAATTCATTACTCTGCTCCTCTCCATTGAGCTCTCTCTCCTGTTTACGTGCCATTCTTCTCCTTTTTACTGCTATACTCCTTCCCTTGTTTGCTCCCCTTTACCTTCTGTATTCTGCACTAAAGCCACACTTTTCCTCAGAGGCTAAGCAGAAACATGGATGATGACAGAATTAATAAGCCATTTTGGGAGAGGCAGAAAAATGTTCCTCTGTCTGCCCATCTTAAAAAGATGATCATTGAAGGTTTAATAGCATATTTGGAGCATGTCCTGCATGGCAGTGAGTGCACATTGAGTCTCATGAGCGTTGGAAAGACTCAGCGCTTTGGATGTGGTCCACATCTCGCAAGATCAGCTAATGGTTTGACCTCATATTTTCAGTTCTAATACCAATGAGAACAGTAGACAGTACTGTGAAAGTAAATTGCTTTTTGATTGTATGTTCTCTTTCCATAAGGTATAAGTGCTAATAAGGAATAACACTAATAGGAACCTATGACGTGCTGAGATTTTTTGTTGTGTATACTTTCATTTCAGACAGATACAACACAGCGATCAAATTGTATGGAGATGAAAAGGCTGATTAATCTTGTCTATTAAAAAGTTTACTTTAACAATGTACATGTTAGTCTAATCATACCAACCTTCACTGTGCATGTTATTTATTTATATCTACATTTCAGTCTAAAACTTACAAATATAAGGATACCTATCCAAAACTGTGGCTGCCCTTGACATACATTTAAAAACATAATATGAGTTGCGAAATCTGCCACACAAAAGAACAGCAATTCTTTTCTGATCTTTCATCCATCATTGTTCATGGGGGAGCAACCCAGTTTAAAATTATCTGGGTTTTTTTAATTTAAATTCTTTGTGTGTGCAATTGAGTGCTTTGGGAATTGGACACATTCTCACTGTTGGAACCTGAATACATTATTCACATGTAAGGGGACTATGTGCACCCATGTAGCTGACCTATGTTCCTGAGAAACTATTTTGATCAGAAGAAAATCTCTCTGCCTCTTTGGGTTTTCATTAATACCGAACTCCATAGTATGTAAGCATTGCCACCATGCTAAAAATATAAGCAAAGATGCCAGCTGTGACTGTGGTTGTGAGGTAAACCACTGTACATTGTGAAATGGATCAAAACACTCTGACTGATTTCATATAGGCCACCAAACAAGTTGTTTTGTGCATAATCCTACAGACTGACCATGGGAACCAATTCATCAGCCAATTACTTTTTTTACATATTATGTTTTTGTCACTATTAAGTGCCAATGTTGCATTTGGCACTAAACAAGACACAAAGGAAGACATGATTAGGAACTTGACTTTTCCATTCAGCTCATAATTTTGAGTTTTGTGCTAGTGTATTATTAAGGGTGTTATTTAATTAGTTCTCAGGGAATAACTGAGGCTAAAAAAATCAGAAAGTCATTGGCACCATTAAGAGAGAGTTAATCATCCTTATAGCTCACAAACAGAGGTTTTAATCAGTTCTTTTGCAGAAATTAGATGTATGCAGTAGGGCTTGTTCCACAAAGGGACTTAGGTGTTGAAACACCTAACCTTTAAATATTCTACTATATATATACGTATATGAGAGAGTTTGTCTGTCTAAGAATCCCTCCTAAGAGCTAGGATCACTAAATTTGGTATTCATCTTTCTCTTGTTATAACTTAAAGCAAGGTAAGGGTTTGGTTGTGCCAGGAAAATGGGATGTGCTTGGAATGAGATTACGTCTCATGAAACCATACACAAAAGAAATAATCACCAGACAGGTGAAAGGGGCTGATTGTCTGAGAGTGTTCCCCTCTCCCCCTCCCCAAATCCAGGAATGTCCCAGCCCTGAATCTCCCACATACCCCCAAGCACCCTTTAGGGAGGCTGGCAGGGCTGACGCACCTCCCTCCCTCCCCCAGATTAATGCAGGAATATTGATAGCTGTTCCCCTCTGTCAAAGTGCACAGTTTGGCGCATTCTTCAATGTGGCTGGGGAGTGCAGGAGGCAGAGGAACCAGGCCCTGCCCCAGACGGGGGACCTGCACCCTTTCCCACAACTATGCCGACTGGAGCTGCAGCGGCCATGAAGCGATGCCTCTTATCTGGGCCCAAGCGGCTGTGATGAAAGAGTTTGGGGGGTAGGCCTTTCTCCCCAGAGCAGCATGCATACTGAACTCCCTCATCCCCCAAAGCAATGATGTAA